CCCAAAACTGGGAGGGGCTGTTGAGCCCCTCGAGGGCAGGGAGGCCCTGCAGAGAGACATGGACAGGTCCGAGGGCTGGGAATCACCACCCATGGGAAGTTCAACAAGGGCAAGTGCTGGATTCTGCCCCTGGGATGGGGCAACCTTGGATGTATGGACAGAGTGGGGAATGAGAGGCTGGAAAGCAGTGCTGGGAAAGGGCCCTGGGGGTCCTGGTCGGTGGCCACTTGGCCCTGAGTGAGCAGTGCCCTGGCAGCCAGGAGGGACATCCCTGTCCTGGGGCATCAGGGAGGGGACTGTCCCGCTCTGCTCTGCCCTGGGGAGGCCTCACCTTGAATATTGGGGCAGTTTGGGGGGACACAATGTAAGGAAGATGTTCAGCCATCAGAGAGTGTCCAAAGGAAGGACAGGGAGATGGGAAGGGCCTTGATTTGAAGCCGTGGGAGGACACTGAGGACACTTGGTGTGTTCAGCTGGAGCAGAGGAGGCTGAGGGGAGAGCTCACTGCAGTTCCAACTGCCTGGGCAGGGGCAGAGGAGGGGCAGGGACTGAGCTCTGCTCTGGGGGGACCAGGGACAGCACCCAGGGAATGGCTGGAGCTGTGTCAGGGCATGGTCAGGTTGGATCTCAGGCAAAGGTTCTTCCCCCACAGGGTGGTTGGGCACTGCCCAGGCTCCCCAGGGCAGTGGGCACAGCCCCAAGGCTGCCAGAGCTCCAGGAGGGTTTGGATGATCCTCTGGGGCACAGGGGGTGACTCTTGGGGCTGGGCCTGTGCAGGGCTGAGAGTTGGACTCGATGGTCCTTGTGGGTCCCTTCCAACTCAGCATATTCTGTGATTCTGTGAACTCAGTTTAACTCATATATGTGTTAAATAGGACACTGGATGTGGACAAGTGCTGAATTGACCTATTTAGTGTGTTTATAGAGTCACTTCTGGCCATAGAATGGTCTAATTAATCTTGAAGTACTCTGTTGAAAAATGTTATGATTTAATGCTTTTTTGCTTTGTCCTTGAGTGGCATTTAATGTCTACACCCAGTCAGGGAGTGACCTCAAGGCTGCAGTACCTCCTGAGGAGTGTGTCCTCTGAGAGGTCTGCTGGAGGACTGAGATGATGCAATTTTTGCTCTGTAAAATGGAACTCCCACAGAGCCAGCTTTGGGCATGGCACATACAACTTCTTCCTTGGCTCCTCAGTTTGGATATGCAAATGTCCATCTGGTTTTCCTGTAATTAGGTTAGCACTGTCCTCATCTCAAAGGGATCTCATCCGTTCTTTCACCACCCTCAGCTAAAGCAACATCACAGATGCTGCTGACTCACCTAGAGAATTGGGGAAAAGTCATTTTACCTTCCATCAAATCTTTCCTTCTCTGAGAATTTCCTGAAGGCTGTCGTGGGGAGTTGTTTGGTTTCCTTTTGAGGTCTCCCAGACCGTTTCAATGATTAGCTTGGAAAACTATGACATGTTTAAAATTAGTTTGGTACAGTCGTTAAGATGTTAATTCTACCATTTGTTTTATCCACCAGGATAAACTTGGGTTTTATGGGCTTTGAGTGTGACAATGAGCAATCAAGCCAGGCCTCTGGATGGGGAAAATATAGTATCTGTTTTAAATTCGCCCAAGACAGGCAATATTCAGAAAAACTAACAGTGATTTATTTGTGCTTAATCCTCCTAACCTCTAATTAGGGTGAAACTCCCATTAGTCTCTAGGAGCACAATGACTCTGTCATGGAGCAGTACTGGGACTGTCTCTACACTTGAATTCCAAGAAATTTTCAGTGGAGGTATTTTGGTATCTGACAGCTAAAAATTTAACACTCTATTTTTGTCATGTGCACGTTTTATCATCTGTGTGCTGGTGACATTCCAGGTGGGTCCCTGGGGGAACTCTTACTCAGCAGAAATAGCTGTTTAAATTAAAAACATTGAAGCAAACATTTGGTGCCCATATTTTATTGATTTCCATATCCTCTCAGCACCTCATGCAACATGATCTTTACCCAGAAAGGTCAAGTCACTAAGGCTACTAATTTCAGAGTACTTGGTTATATATATTATATATAATATATATTATATATATTCTTTGGTGTGATAGATGAACAGCAAAGAAAGCATAACCTCTTTCTAATAAATTCCAGTTGCAAAGAAGGCTTATTAATAAATCAAATTTTAAAATGCACTGTAGGTAAATGCTATATTAAAAAGTGTATGCATATGTGTTGAAAAACAAATCCCTTCAGTGGTCTGCCTGGGTCTTTCCTTTTCCTTCACTGCACATCCTGTCCTTGGCTGGGTCTGCTGCCATGTCCGTGGCTCCTCAGGTGGGTCTGGGCACTTCCCACATCCCTTGGTGACAGTCCCAGGCTGTGCTACACCTCTGGATGATGGGGTGTCCTTGGCAGGTTTTCTGGTGACACCAGTCTGGGAGCAGGGGCTGATAAGTCCAGAGGGACTGAGCCAGGCTGCAAAACCAGTCTGAACCTCCTGCTGGTCAACAAGGAGAAGCACAAAGTCCTACCCCTGGGAAGGAACAGCCCCAGGCACCAGGATGTGCAGGGGGACACCCAGCTGGGAGACAGTTCAGCAGGAAAGGCCCTGGGGGGGCCTGGAGAGCACAAAGTTGGACGTGAGTCTGTGTGCCCTTGCAGGACAGAAGGTAAGTTGTGTCCTGGGCTGTGTTGGAAGGACTGTCACCAGCAGGTCGAGGAGGGGATCCCTTCCCTCTGGTCAGCACTGGGCAGGTTATCCCTGGGGGGCTGTGTCCAGGTTGGGCCTCCCCAGCACCAGGGAGACATGGACATACTGGAGAGAGTCAAACATCAGGAAGCTTTTTTTTCTGTTTTTAATGGTGAGGGTGACCCAGCACGGGGACAGGTTGCCCAGGGAGGTGGTGGAGTCTTCCAAAGCTGCCTGGACACAGTCCAGGGCAAACAGGTCTAGGAGGCCCTGCTTGGACCAGATGACTTCCAGAGGTTCCTGCTGTCCTCAGCCACCCTGTGATTCTGCAAACTGGAGTGGGAGCTGCTGTCCAGAGAGCAGCTGTTTGGTTTCTGGCTCTCTCTCCTTCCCTTCCCTCTCCTCCTGATCCTCTTGACCCACGTAAAATACAGATTTTCTGACCGGACTTTCTGGTATGAAAATGACACTGTCAACAACTTGAAGGGAACCTAAATCTTTACCTAGTAAAGGAAGGGTCCAAATTCCCAAGTCTGCTGTAATGTGCCAGTCTTCCTTCTCATTCCCTTTTTATCATGTCTGAGTGGCTTACAGATTCCTGAGCCAAGATATATGATTAAAAACATACCTATGTAAATGTACAAGAATTCAAGCTTGCATGGCATGTGTCAACAGATGTATTTTATAAAAGATAAGGAACACAATGGCATCCTGTCATCATTAGGGCTCTCTCTTAGATTAATCTGTCATCTTTATATCTTTAGACTGAACAAAAATTTCTGTCAGCACCTGACCTGTGTTTTGAGTTCTGGGCTTCAGACCAATTATTATAAGAAAAAAGAGTTTGTGAGGCTTGAGTGCCTTTGGAGTGTCATCTGTATCATCTTGGCCTTCCTGGAAGACTTTTGTAGCCCTCAGCTGTGTGTTTAGAAATAAATCAATGAAGAAATTTCCTCTCAAGCAGACCTGCACAGAGGATTAGAAAATTCATGAGCTGCGTTCAAAATTCACGGTTAGAAAATGTGTGACTGTGAAATCTGCAGAGTGTTGACAGGGACCCCGTGGAGGCAGGTGGAGAGAACACAGGAGAGAGGGGTTTAACCTGGAGTGAACGTGGCTCCTGGGGGGACTGGGAATAGCAGTGGGATGAAGGGAAAATGCTGAAATCAAGGAAGTACCGAAGAAGAAAAAAAGAAGGGAAGGGAGCAGGGGAGATGAACCCTGTAGAGATACAGAACAGAGGAGGTGAAAAGCAAGAGCTGGAGTCTGACAGAGGAGTCATTGGGACATTTTCTGGGTCTGCTCCCTCCTTATTCTCCTGGTAGTTTAACCAAGAAGGAGTTTCCTTCTGTGCCATCTTGGATACCTTGAGATTGAGACAAAGAGCTTCAAGAACAAGAGAAAGAAGCCTCCCAGACACCTGTTTGCTGCTGCCTTGAGCTTCACTCACACCTTCAGAGCTGTTTCTGAGCCTTTACACCCTTTGATGTGGGTTCTTTTTTTCCCCTGTGGTCACTGGTTGCCTGCAGCACACGGAGACTGATGCCTGAATTCACCCTTGGGGTAGGTTCTGGGAGCTGCCTCTAGTAGTAAAGGGCAAAGAAAGGGATTGATTGCTTATAATTTGCTTTGCTTCAAGATGTACATGTGGGACATACATTCATTTTTGGCTGATCTTTCCTTCTTCCTCCAAGTTGTGGATATGTCTTCCTGCTTTTGGGATTTCTATACACAATATCTTTGGCACCAGGAGAAGAAGGGCTGAAGAATTGATTCCTATGGACATGGCTGGGGAAAAAAATCTGATTTTTATGTTATGAGGCACAGATACATTTAGGGTCCAAGTATACATGTATTTTATACACATGGGAGGTGCTGGTTACTGCAATGACTATAAACCCTGAAGGTGGATGGACTGATGCTCAGATGAGGATGATTGAAAAATTGCCTTATTTTCGGGTAGAATAACCTACATAAATTCTTGTCTTGATTTTTGTTGAATATATGAAAAGGGTTATGACTCTCTTAAAAAAAGAGCCAAAAACCCGAACAATCCCAAAGCACCAAAAATCCAGAATTCATCCTAAAACAAACTCTTTGCTAAAAATACCTAATCACTGTCAATCTCCCTGGTTGTCTGCTCCTTGAAATAACATCCTGGCTGTGATACCATTAACCCCGTAAAAAACCTGTCCACTAAATTTTAAGAGGGGCAAATCCAAGCTTCAGAGCTCTCTATTTTGCCATACACACGGAGCAATTCGGAACACCCACTTGAGAAACTAAAGAAAGACAGGAGCCTCACTGTGTCCCCAGCTTGGCTTAGCACTTGGGGTTTAACATTAGGCACTGGCAGATTGTCTGGAAGATTCGGCATTTGCACAAAGCACAGTAGTTACAGCAGGAATTCAGGTGTGGTTTGCAGGGTTTGAAGGTTGGCACACAGTTGGCAGCTGGTGGGGGCCTTGGTTTCGGAGGTGTCTTGCGTTCAGCATTTTTCTGGAAGACAAAAACGTGGGAATTCGTGGAAAAGTGAAGTGAGCACAGGTCACACGGGTCAAGAGAGGGAACGGAGGGAGGGTCTGGCTTGAGGTGAGGAGGTGGTTGCTGGCAGTGAGACCTGGATTAGCAACACAGAGGTGTGGTTGGTTTGGATCGTGGGAAATGGTGGCTGGAGACCAACCCTCTGAGCAAAATGATAAACCTTGTGAGCCCTGGGTTTTGACTGTGACTGGGCAGAGTGCTGGAAAATGATCTGTAGGGAAAACTGTGGAAGCGGTGAAGAAAGATATAGAAAAACATTCAAAGATGATGAAGTTATCAATAAAACTAATTAAGGTGTTGTGCCTGGACCCCCAAACTTTTCAAATGAAAGACTGAACCCTCCCTGTTGGTCTGTGGGGCTGGTACTACTTTGCTGGGCTGAGAGAGCAGGGAGGTGACCTGGCAATGCTCCACCTCCCAGGGCTGGGCTGCCAAGCTGCCTTTGGAGCCCAGTGATCCTTCATCCATGAGAAACCTTAACTGCACACACGGATAAGTGTCCCCCAGCCTGCCCAAGGAGTGCTGCTCCTCCGTCTGGGACCGGGAAAGGTGGGAAATTTTGGGTTGCTCAGCACGTGCCTGGGACCTGGGAGGGATCTCTGGAACATGCCAGCTGCAGGCACCCTGTGCACCTTTGTAACTCAGAGTTATGGGATAGTTTGGATGGGAAGGGATCTTTAAAGCCCTTCTTGTTCCACCCCCTGCCATGGGCAGGGACACCTTCCACTAGCCCAGGTTGCTCCAAGCCCCGTCCAACCTGGCCTTGGACACTTCCAGGGATCCAGGGGCAGCCACAGCTTCTAGTTTTCTTTCCACCTTTATTATTTTGCATGTGGTTTTACAGTATTTAGAGCTTTAAGCTGTATGTCAATTATTTAACTCAGGGAATGGCAGTAAAAGCCTTCCAAATGAATGCACAGAGGGAAGCTCTACATGTAACAAACCATTCTAATTCAACAAAGTTTTCTGAACAACCACCTACCTTGGAAGATTTCTTGTTCTCTGCCTCTTTCCTGCTGACTTTCTGGGATCTTCTAGTTAAATCTTCAATGAGAATAGCACAACATAATATGAAACCAATTTTACAGCATGGTGTTTTGTTGAGATAATCCTATTTTTGGGTGAGAGAAGGCGAATAACCTGCATTGCCACCTCATCCCTGTGTGTTTTCAGTGAAGGTGTTCACCTCAGGCTCAGAGTGTCTGAACTCTTGTTGTCACTGCTGCTTGTGCAAAGCAGAAGAATACTGATGTTTGTATTTTAGGAGAGAATGTTTACACTTTGTTTGGTAGATGCAAACAAGGAACAATTTCGGAGAAATAAAATTAAAGGTCCCTGTCTAAAAGATGAGGGTACTCGTGAACATTAGTCATGTGAACAAAAATAGGAAAAATCTTTAGAATTCTGTATTTTTTTCTGTTAGAAGGTGGTGTTACATGCATAATTTTGGAAGGAATTAGGAAGTGTACACTGGTTTTCACAAGCAAAAACTCTTTGCTGGTTTGGTACAAACTCCTCATCTGAGTGATGCCACCTTTCATTTGCAGTTCTTTGTTCCTTCTCCACCCACCATTTGTTTTAGAAAACATTATTCTCAAAGGTGTTTCATTCATGTGCCTGTAACTTGGATTATCATATGTCTTTATCACTATATATATACATTTATAACTATATATAAATTCCATGACTAAGACTTGTCTTGGCCTCTAACACAGCAAGACTGTTAAAGTGTGAGACACTTCCCAGCTCCCCAACCTGTTATATTTTTGATACCTTTACTCTGTGTGTGAGTTTTGTAATAAGCACTGTATGTATGTAATGAATGATTGGGATAAAAAATGTCCATATCCCCACTGATAAATGGTGGCTCCTCATCTATTCCAGTGTTCTCTATCAGTATGTTTCTGAATATTTGCTAATTGCAACAGAGTGAAGAACAAACAGTTTGGGCTGGTTTGAGGTGTTTCATTTATTAATCATGATTTTTTATGGTTAGAGTTATGTATCTCTAAGAAATAGTGTGGGGGGAAACCTGTACTTCAAGCATATAAAGTTATTGTCACTTAATAAGGGCAAGCCTTAATAAAGGTACTGCACTAACTCGATTAGTGATTTGGACCCAGTTCCAGCTGGAATATTGAGTGTTCTTTGTTATTCTGTCCTTTGAAACTTCCTGACAGTAACAAAGATACGTGTAAGTAATTTAAATCTACCTCAATTTGACTTTGTGTAGTCCAGTTGTACAGGATTGCTTGGATTGCTTTGGCTATAAGAGAGGTGAGTGTTATGCAGAGATCTGTTTCTTTGAACTATTCCTGCATTTTCAGTGTCAAATGTTCACTCTGTTGTATGAAAGGACATTTTATGTAGGGGAGGAACGAATGCAAAGGTGAACTGGAGATTGTGGTGCTGGCTTAGACTCAGACTATCAGTGTGCTGGGGGTTGCTCTTCACTCCCTGGCTGATTGCTTCATCCCTCTGTTGACTATAAAATGGGGAAGCAGAATAGCTGGGATGTGCCATGGAGGGGATACAGGATGCTCTGCTCCTGAGGGAGGAGTCTCTTTGCAGACAACCAAACGGGGCAGAGAGGGACGAGGGCTTTTGTGGGGCATTGCAGAACCCCCCAGAGCAAAAGGGCCTGACAGTGTTAGGGGATCTTTGCTATCCTGCATGTCCGTTGGCAAAGGAATAGCAGAGAATCCTTGCAGAGCCGTGGAACAGTTTGGTACCTCAAAACGAGCTGTACTGAAAATCTCTTCAACCTCCCCTTTTTGTTCTGAAAAAGGAAGGTATCTGAGTAGTATCTGAGAGTATCTTAGAGTATCTGAGAGATGTTCCATCTGAGAGATGTTCCATCTCTGTAGTAAACTCAGTTCGTGGAATCCCAGAATGGTTTGGGCTGGAAGGGACCTTAAAGCTCATTTTGTTCCACCCTCTGCCACGGGTAGAACACCTTCCACTAGCCCAGGTTGCTCCAAACCCCATCCAGCCTGGCCTTGGACACTTCCACCTGGCATGACACAGCATCTCTGTCATGCTTAAAGCAGGGGCTCACTTTTGTGAGAAGATAGAGAAATCAACTGAAGTGAGTGTATTTTATATCTCTGATTTTAATTGGAGTAAAAAAAAAATGTTGGAAGTGTGATGCTGAAGGTATCAGGGATCACAAGGACCATGCAATGGTGCAGCTTGGGAGGCTGCACAGCAGCACAAGGTTCACTAAACTTGCAGTTAAACAAGGCCAAGTTAACTCAGCATTCAAACATTCAGATTTCTGTAGAAATGCAAGTGCAGGGCAACTGTTTTTCCTTAAAGAAATGTCATCCTGAGTAAGAGCTCTGAAAAAATACAGTAAACAAGGTAAGAAACCAAACTGCTTTAAGCAAAAGCTCTAAAAGCCTGTAGAAAGGAGCTAAACAAGAGTATTTTTTGGATTATTAGTGTTTTGACAGAGTTATGAATGGTGTTCTGCAGCTAATTAGCTCCAAAAAATTGATTCTTGAAACCAGAAGTTTGTGTAAATTAGGGCAGACACAAGGAAAATATCTTGTGAAGAAAAGAGTTAAGCTTTGCCTAACAAGGTTCTTCCCTAACAGGACAGAGTAAGAGTAGGGATAGAGCTGGTCCTGTCTTGGATAAATAGATAACCCCTGGCTCTCCCTTGCAGTGCTCTTTTCTTCCCCTGGTTAAACTGAGGTGATATTAATACCTGTTAATGCTGTTGATTTCTCTACCACAAGAGCAGATACTTAAAAAGACCCCACATTATGCTCATATTTTTTATATGCATGAGATTTTCAAAGGAAGATTATTGCCCATATTAGCAGAAGAACACCTAAACACAAAAAGACCTGCAGTATGATAGGACCTGAAGTAAAATCTGTAAAACTAAAATAAGTCATCTGATGATTATTCTTTTTTTCCTCTAAACTGAGGGTTGTCACATTGTCATTCTTGGGTGCTGTAGCCACAACAGCTCTGCACTAAGGCAATTGTGTGACATTGCAGTGTTATCCAAATAGTCTGTAGGAACCAACAACTGCATTTTCTGCAAATCCTATTAATTTGGCACCGAATGGCAGATTTTACTCACCTACTATGGAGATGGGTGGGAGATCTGAGAGATCCATTCTGCTGCTCCTGGACAGGTTGCATTCTGCCTTCTCCTCAGTGACCATGTGGGAATCAGCAGCTCTGAGCAAGCTGTAGCAGAGCAGGAGGCTGAGGAAGAGCCTCTTCCTTTCCATCGTGGGGAGGAAAAATTCCATCATCATGAAAACCAAAGTTGGTCAAAACCTGCAGGTGGAAGAGGTGCAAGGATATGAATCTCAGAAATGGTTTTCTGTCACGTTGTGCAGCTTTAGCAACAAAACTTTGACAGTTCTTTTACTTCCAGCACTTTGATACCAGAATACCTAAGTTTCTAGTTGTCAGAGTGGAAGAACACTGTATCAAATAGAACTCTCTTAGACAGTCTCTTTTTTCCTGATTCTTTCCTCGAAATGTTTATTTTCCCAGAAGATGCAGGAGATCTCCCAGGCGAGTTTTACAACGACGTATGACCAAGGGCAGAAGCTCAATCGCTTCATCAGACTTTTTTTCCCAGAAAATCTCGTTAACAGATTTGTCCTAGAAAACATGGAAAAATAATGACAATTTAAAAAAAAAACCCAAACCCACAAATTGTGTTTCCCTGTAGTTTTCTCCTCTTGAAAATAACCTCAAAAGTGACTGCTCTAATCCCGTTGTAAATCACGGCTGTAACTCACACGAGTTATGAAAAGGCCCAGTGCTGTAAAGTCTTTATGGACCTTACTGTGCACTGAATAACTTGTAAGATGTGACAAAGTCTGTGGGATTTGAGGATATTTATGGAGGAACCTGAGCAGAGTGTGGCCATTCACCTCAGATGACACTGCCAGCCCCCGGTGACGCAGCGAGGGGCACACAGATTGTGTCACCAGCCTGGGCTCCTTCTCTTGTAGATTCCTTGCAGGGCTGTGTTTCAAAGCTGATTTTTATTTCCATGTGCATTACTCTGATGCTGTGTCAGAGTTATGGGAGCCTTCCCCCGGGGGCACTGTCAGCCTCCAGATTTATGGGTAGCCTTTCGTCAGTGAAAAGCTACTGGTAGCAGTAAAAGGAGGGAGTGAAACCAAATGTTTTAAGCCATTCATCTGCTTGTGATGACTTCATTACTGGAGAGTTAAAAGATGAAGAGTTTCTGCATTGGAAGGGCTTCAATCTGGTCACTGCTGCTATGCAGAATCTGTTCTCTGCACGTGCTTTTATAGCCCCCACTGCCCCTCTGTTCCTGTGAGATGGTGAATATTATGCTTCTAATTCCAAGCGTTTGGGCTCAGTTCTCAAATCGTCTGTTCTCCAGGCCATGCTCATGGACCAAATCAGTGCTGGGTGTGTGGATGCTGCTTTCCATGGTGGTTGTAGCTGTGCCATGAGGATATTCACCTCTGCTCTGGAGATGGGCTGGGAGAGCTGGGAGAGGAGAAGGCTCCAGGGAGACCTCAGAGCCTCTTCCAGTGCCTAAAGAGGCTCATGAGAAAGAGGGAGAGCAACTTTTTACACGGGCACAGAGCAATAGGGCAAGACAGGATGGTTTCAAACAGAAAAGAGAGAGATTTAGGTTGGACATTAGGAAGAAGTTCTTTACTCAGAGGTTAGTGAGGCCCTGGCACAGGGTGCCCAGAGAAGCTGTGGCTGCCCCATCCCTGGAAGTGTCCCAGGCCAGGTCGGATGGAGCTTGGAGCAACCTGGGCTAGTGGAAGGTGTCCCAGCCCGTGTTGGAACTGGATGAGCTTTAAGGTCTTTTCCTACCCAAACCATTCTATGTTTCTATGATCCCACATCTGTTAGGACTCCAGTGGGATTTGCAGGGAAGCACGTATTGGATCCTTTGTGGTTTAGACATCTGCGTGAGGTGCAACTGAAATAGAGCCTGGAGATTTACACTGGGGGATTAACCTTGGGAAGGGAGGGCTGTTATGTCTGTATTTCAAGTGATCCACAGCTGGTGTTGTTCAAAGCTGATGTAAAGTTCAGACCCCTGCTGGGCCATGGTCATGGCTGTGGGTAAAAGTCTTCTTTGAACCAATTGATTCCAGTTTTGTAAAACGAGATGGGAGGAATCTTTCATTTGATTCCAAATAACCTCCTAGAGAAGAAAGTAGACCTTATTTAGAAGAAAAATAAAAATTGCAACAACCAAAAGGAACAAGTCTTCCCATGAATATTTGTTGTGATGGTAAAATCGTGGGCTTGAGTTTTCAGCTATTGCAATTGAGTAAAGGGTCAAGATGACCTGTCTGTGTCATTCTTTACATGCCCTGATCTTGCAAACTCTTCTACAGAAGTTCAGCCCTTGCCTGGGGCAATTGTATAATGGAAGTATGTGAAAATATTTGCTAAGTCAGGATTCTACCCTGATCTTTTTCTTCTGTGCAGAAGAAATACCCTTTTATTTGCTTTTTCCCATCTCCTTTCACAAAAGGTATCCAAACCTCAGTGACATTTCTTGGTGCTCCCTGACAACTTCTCTGTCACATGGCTTTACATGGAGAAAACCATTCAGGTCATAATTAGAATTTCTTTTCATGGACCCAGTTTTACCAACCTGAGTGCCCCTAGTGATGTTCATATTCCAAGTGCATGCTTAAAAGTCATAGAAGACCTAAATAATGGCTTGTGTGCCCAAAAGCTTATCTATATTTTCCAGATATGCAGTTGGTCAAATATAACATATTACTTAAAAATGGTAGCCTGCTCAACATTTAATTTTGCTGATTTTTCTGGGTCTGGGCATACAGGGAAGGAAGACATTTTTTACAGTGAGGGTGGTAAAACACCAGCACAGGTTGTTCAGAAAGGTGGTGATGCCCCATCTGAGGAATCATTCAAGATCAGGTTGAGGGTCTTTGGGTAACCTGCTTTAGATGATGATGTTCCTGCTTATGGCAGGGGAATTGGACTAAATAACCTTTAAAGGTCACTTCCAGCCCAATCTGCTCCTTCATTCTGTGACACAGGGCTTGTCTGTGGCAGGTCGATGCAGACATTTGGGCTCCAACTCTTTCCAGGCTCTGGGTTGGAGTGAAGAGAGCAAGCTGGGAGCTGGGAGCCGTTTGCTTTGCACGTGGGAGTGTTCACACTGTAGATTGTGCTTTTTTAAGCAGCTTTTTAGCCCGGCTGCAGGAAATGCTCTGTAACACACCTGCAGTGTTGGCACAAAGCTCCCTGGTGAAGCCCATGCTGGCCTGTCCCCAATGTACTGTTTAAATGAGCTTCCACCCCAAAATGTTGTTTCCATTGTATTTCCACATCTTTATCTCAGCACAATTGCTGATGGATGTGATGAGCAAACAGTACAATTTTACAGCCTGTGTCTGTTCCCTTCCAACAGGGACATCTGAACCCTCACTGGGGTGCAAATGCAAACCTGGCTGCACAGGTTGGTTTGAAGGGCAGGTCCTGTCTGACCAATCTGATCTCCTTTTATGCCCAGGTGACCCACCTGGTGGATGAGGGGAAGGCTGTGGATGTGTCTACCTGGACTTCAGCAAAGCCTTGGACACTGTCTCCCATGGCACACTCCTGGAAAAGCTGCAGCCATGGCTTGGACAGCGGCACTCTGTGCTGGGTTAGGGACTGGCTGATGGCTGGGCCCAGAGAGTGGTGGGGATGGAGCTGCATCCAGCTGGGATCCGTCACCAGTGGTGTCCCCAGGGATCAGTGCTGGGCCCAGTCCTGTTTAATATCTTAATTGATGATCTGGATGATTTGAGTCCACCATTAGCAAATTTGCAGATGACACCAAGCTGGGGGGGAGTATTGATCTGCTGAAGGCAGAAGGGCTCTGCAGAGGGACCTGGACAGGCTGGATCCATGGGCTGATTCCAAGGGGATGAGGTTCAACCAGGCCAAGGGCCGGGTCCTGCCCTTTGGCCACAACAACCCCCGGCAGTTCTACAGGCTGGGACAGAGGGGCTGGAGAGCAGCCAGGCAGGAAGGGAGCTGGGAGTGGGGATGGACAGGGAGCTGAACAGGAGCCAGAGTGTGCCCAGGGGGACAAGAGGGCCAATGGATCCTGGCCTGGCTCAGGAACAGGGTGGCCAACAGGTCCAAGGAAGTGATTCTGCCCCTGGACTCAGCACTGGTGAGGCCACCCCTGGAGTGCTGTGTCCAGCTCTGGGCCCTCAGCTCAGGAAGGACATGGAGGGGCTGGAGCAGGGCCAGAGGAGAGCAACGAGGCTGGGGAAGGGACTGGAGCACAAGTGCTGTGAGGAGAGGCTGAGGGAGCTGGGGGGGCTCAGCCTGGAGAGGAGGAGGCTCAGGGGAGTCCTCCTGACTCTGCAACTCCCTGACAGGAGGGGGGAGCCAGGGGGGAGTCGGGCTCTTCTCCCAGGAACCAGCAGTAAGACAAGAGGGCTGGGTCTTCAGCTGTGCCAGGGGAGGTTTAGGTTGGATATTAGGAAGAAATTCTTTCCAGAGAGAGTGCTCAGCCATTGGAATGGGCTGCCCAGGGAGGGGGTGGATTCTCTGTCCCTGGAGGTGTTTAAGGTGAGACTGGATGTGGCATCAGTGCCATGGGCTGGGAACCACGATGGGGTTGGATCAAGGGTTGGACTTGATGATCTCAGAGGTCTTTTCCAACCTGGTTGATTGTGTGATTCTGCGATTCTATGAACCCTTGTGCACATGGGATTTTTTAGCCAAAAGCACTTGGGTGGTAGGAATTGGCCAGTTTTGAGTGACTGTTTGAACCTGGAAAATGCACATATCGGTGAATATTTGATCTAAAAACTGTATCAACTGGCTAGAAAGGTAATGCTCCTTGGAGCAGAGGGGTCTGTGAGTTCACAGAGAGGTGAAAGGGGAGGAAAGTGGAATCAGAAGGGAAGGTGAGTAAAAAGCTGCTCATGGCCCCAAACCTGCCAGAGCTCAAGGGGTGTTTGGACAACACTCTCAGGCACACGTGGGTCCCTTCCAGCTCTATGATTCTATGATCAATCTTGGGTTTCTTCTTTTGTATCATATTGCAAAACCCTTGCCCTTATTTGAGGGGATTTTTGTTGATTTGCTTTTTTTTTCTCCTGGTGGTTTCTTGCTTTTGTTTTTTGGGGTTTTTCTTCTGGCATGAAAGAGAGGTTTGCTTTTCCATTTTGTTCATTGTTTTCCTAATTTTCTTCTGGGACTCATCAGAGGCTGATTAAAGCAATCAAACTATTTTCCTTACCTCCAGCAAGCTTCACATCTGGTTTTCTCTGAACATTTAGATTTAGAAGAGTTTATTTTCCTTTTGAGCTCCTAACAATGGAGAAGTAAATTACTTTAATAGTAGTATCTTGAGAGGGTTCTAATTTATTTCTTTAATGATGCTAAAATGCATGAGGAGAACTTTAATATATGACTTTTAAATTGTTGGTTATGGGGACTTAGTCTTGCCCAGCACTGAAATTTAACCACTGAACTTTAGCTGCAGTTCAGCAAATTATATATGGAAATAGTTAACATGTGGATGTGGCCTTGATTGCCAAGGGAATGACAGATTTATTATTTTTATTATATCTTTAAAACCAAAACAAAGGCAGACATTTGAAAGTTTGTTGACTGTCATCAGAGTGCTCTTTTCTGTGCCTTTTCCTCTCTGCTTTGGCTTCTCATATTTCATATATAAGGTGTTTTAATCCTTACCCCAATTGCTGGCTTTCACAAACATTCTTCCTGAATGTAAATTTGGAAAATGACAGGTGATGGGAAACAGTTTTCTTTCTTTTTAGTCAGTTTTTTGTGATGTCATATTAAAAGTCCTCATGGAAATTTGATTTCCCGGGGAACACTCTGTGTGTTCAACACTTTTGAGGGAAAGTCATTCCTTGTCACAGTTGATTTCACTCTGTCAGACATTTCTCTTCATCCAACAACAGAGAGAACAGTGTGAGATATTCATACAAAAAGTCTGCCATAAACACTGGGCTGGGAGGGACAAGTTGAAGTTTTCTTGGACGGTCTGGCAAATTTGGACCAACTCAAAAATAAATCAGCATCATTATACAGAGCTGAAAACAACTGCTTAGAAAAATGAGGTGCTAAAGTAGGTGAACAAAGACCTATGAAAAATAGAAAACTGTGTTGCAGCCTCAATAGCTCGCTGACAAATCTTCATCTCCACTCTGCTGCTGAGATCCTGCTTTGAGAAGGATCACAGAACCCTCAGGGTTGGAAAAGACCTCCAGGACCATCAAGTCCAACCTTTGGGAGAATATCACCATGCCCATGAAACCACAGGATACGGTAGAAAAAGAGGGAATGCAAGGGAAAAAAAGCCAGAATTAGTGGATGCCTTGAAAGACGTTGAGATTTTCAGATGGTGAGAGACTGAAAAAGTTATGAAATTAAATGTGGAGGTTAATTAGGATGGCTGGGGATCTTCCCATCTCAGCCATCAGGTTTCGGTAAAGGAATAGCAGCAAAAAGGGAAATAGTAAAGAGCAAAAAGGGGCATTTGGAGGGAAAGGAAAGAACCACCCTGAGACAATCCCCAGTGCTGCAGGCAGTGCCCTGCTGGCCCAGCCCCAGGGGTTCCTTTGCCATAGAAGTTTCCTGACAGCAGGTTAGGGTTGAGTTCACAGAACACGCAGCAAAGACAGGCGCTTTTTAGGCTCTAAAGGGCATTATCAAGGTGTGAGAACATGTGAATAATACAAAGAAATAGCTGCTACTCATCCTCAAACCACAAAATAATTTAAAGTAAAATTAATGCAAGCAAAGGTCTCTCCCCAGAACAAACCTGGAGCCCAAAACAAGCCTCATTTGGGGCCTAACCTGAATCTCACTGAATTGCAGTTATTTTGTTCAGTTTGGGGGGAATGGGCTGATAATCTCAGTCCGCCTTTTTGGTGAGGACCTGTTGTACACCTCTGAGCTTCTGGGTGGATAATGACAGGGCCAAACCTTGCAGAGAGTTTTTGGGGTTTGAGTGGACAACCAAATTCCTCCATCCCCTTCCAGTGTTCTCCCATGCTCCCCTGGGCAGCTCTTTGCCATCCCCACCCAGCACATCTGCCCTTGTTTTACAGGCAATTAAAATATGAGAGAAGTTGAGTGAGAGCTTTATATGTATATAAAGCTTTATATAAATTTTATAACACTTTGACAGTGTTATCAAAACCTGACTTTGCAGAATGCAAACACAACACAAGCTCAGTTCCAGCTGGGTTGGGCTTGGCCTTTGTGTGTGGAGGGAGGTCCTTGGAAGCATGAGAAGGGGAAAACCAGCATGTTTCTGTTCCTCTGTTGTGTTCTGGTCTTTGAGTTCTTAGACCATTTGGGGATCAAATTTTCATGCTTTTCAAATGCAATCACTAAAGGCAAATTCTTGAGCACATTCAAAAGAACAAACCCAGGAATTTTTGATTCCCCATGAAAGGGGAAGGCTATTTCTTAATAAGGGAGATTTCCTTGTGTGCACTGAACTGAACTGAAGAACTGGGAGAGAAATCATTTATATTTAGTGATTCTATGGGTTCAAGCTGTTCACCTGAGCTGGGAAAACATTAGGAAGCTACCTGCTCATCCAAGCACCTCTCAGGAGGGGAAAAAAAGAAAACAAAAGCATTTTCCACGGTGAAGAAGAAGGTTTAGAAGGGTTTGGCTCCTAGAAATTGAAATAAGACACGTTTAGAGTGAGGGATTACCAGACATGTTATCACTTGGTTTAATTAAGACACAAGTACTGAAATCCAGGCAGGGTCTGCAGCCTGTCATGGAAGAAATGTGAGCATATGATCACAAGGGGTTCATTCCAGCTTTGCTCCCTCCTGGACATTTAAGAGCACTTTGTTTACCCAGTCCTGTTCTGGGGATTTCAGGCTCTTCTAAATCATCGGTTCAACAGGCACTCTAAATCCATTGTAAACACACAGCCAGGAGCACAATAGCTCTGTCACAAGAACCATTCATCCTGAGCCCAGAGAATCACAAAATAGAAATGATTTCTCTCCCAGTTCTTCAGTTATCCAATGGCTCTTCTGCTCAGTTTTCTAATTTCTCATTAGAAGCAGAGGTAGTGCTCCTTTAGTGACCCCGACTATGCCAAATAATCTCCTTGCTCCACTCTAGTTATTTTTAATCTAGTTCTCCATCTTCTACTCCAAAATTTTGCCAGGATCTGAGTCAAGCCAAAGCCCACATAATGGCTTTATTGTCCACAGAGCCATTAAATTAGTGATAATTCTCTGGCTATCCCCTGTATTACTGAAAATGAGCTTTCCCAGCCAACTTCACCAGCTTAACAATTAGCACCTACTTTAAACTGCATTTTTAGCCTTCCTTCAAGGAGCAGCAGATTCCACAAGTATGGAGTGAAAGTGTGGGGTTGTGGGTGGATGAATGACTCAACCAATCTGCTTATTCCAGAAGGATTCCTGGATTCCTGCCTTAAGGTACTAGAAGGGGAAGGAATCCTTCTCTCTCACATCTCAGTTATGAGAAGCTCCCCTTCATCTGCCAACTTTGCGGCGATTGTTTAGACTGTTTAAGTTAAAACAACTTCAATACCTGTCCTCTGATTAGCTGGTGGAAGGTAAGATGTTTTTTTAAATCATTATTAGATGGATAGTGTTATTAGGGGGAGTAATTACAGGGCGCTCCACAGAGCCTGCTTGGAATTTAACCTGCCTCTGAGACTATTATTCTCCTTCCCATTTTTAAGTAATTCTAATATTCTGATTTATTTTTAACAGCATTAACCTCTTATAATAGTTTATCCTTTTAAAATTACATGTTTTCCTGGTCCTAGGGCTGTTTAAAGCTCGGGGGCAGGGACTGTGATTGTTTGAAAATGTACTCCTGACTTCATACTGGCATTTAGGGAACTTTATAAATCATTCTAAGAGTGTTCTGGCCTGTTCCTCATTTTCTACATGTTTAAGTCTTTTCCTAGCTCATTTGGGGAAAATCTAAGTTATAATTGTTTCCAGCTCTATTGAACTGCCTCAAGAAGGATGGGCATGTGAGGAAGGGGAACCAGGGAAGGGTCTGTCTTTGAAGACTGTAGGAAAGAGGAAGCTCTGAAACTATTCCTGCTCCATTTTCACTTTCTAGAGAAAGACCTGTACAAAATACTTATCCCTTTACTGTTTTGTAAGAGCTTGTATATTGTTTTGATTAAGAGACATTACTTTTTTGACAGTCCTTCTCTCCCTGTTCATGACTTGATGAAGGCTTTACAGACATGGATACCTGAGATTTCCTATTTGTATTCCCTGTGAAGCTTCTATTTTCTTTGGTTTTGTTTTATTTATATATTTAGGGACAAATTGGCTTTTGTTACAATCGAGCTATCTAAGAGGTGAAGTTATTTTATTTTAAACAGGACATGAGTTAGGAAATATTTGATCTGTGACTGGTGGAGGCTGATGGCAAATTCACCTCTGAAATCCTTTGGGCAACAATAACCCTTCTGGTCGTGGTGGCAATGTGACAAATAAGAACAATGGTCGATTTGTATCTGATGCTAGAACTGAAATAAATTCACTCTCTGGTTTTTCCTGATAAATTTTGAGCAATTTTCTTGAAAGTCAGAGGACAGAACATTTCCACAGTGCAGGTGATGGAGCTGGGAGGTGCTGAGTGCCACGTGATCCCTGTTTGCAGAGGGTGGAAAGCAAAGTGAGTAACAGGAGCTGTGGTGTTGGTGGAGGCTCCCCCCGTGCAGTGCACGCACGGGAGATGGGGTGCAGTGGTGGTGCTCAGTGCTGATCAACCCAGGGTGTTGTATCCCAGTATCCAAGACTGTTGGGGCACCAACAAGCTCTGCAGCCTCCTCCAGCTGCTGGGGCTGCTCCAGCTGCTGAGGCTGCTCCTGCTCTAGGCTGGTTCTGATCCAGCACAGCTCTAACCCAGGATCAGGCTGCTGGGGGGTGCCTCCTCGGGGGCTCCCTTGGATGCCATGGAGAAGGAGCAATCCCTGCTTAGCTGATGGTAAATGGACCTGCCAAAGGGAAACTGGAAGGGGCTGTGACTAAAGGGTAAAATTTAAAAGAGAACATTAAGCCTTTCACTTCCATTCCCTGTGTAATGGAATTTCTAAATATCCTACTCTTCTGCCTGCCTGCATCCTTGACATCCTCAGTGAGAGTTAATCTTTGTTTGAAGGTACCATTTGCATGTTGATGACACGTGTTGGCCTGGCCCAGCTGAAAGTGCTGAATGGCAGGGAGGAGAGACCTTCCTGGCATGGCCACTGGTGCCTGTGGGGAGAAACAGAGGTTTCTGGACGTTCCTTCCACGTCCTGGCGAGGTCATGTTATCCTGACTGTGGCACGGACACGTAGGAATGGTTGGAGCCCTTAGATTTGTATGAAGTAGCTGCAAACTTTATCTGTTGCAATCATGTGCCCCTTTAGAAATGAGGAATGAGATCAGTTGTGTTGCTCTTGTGTGTGTGTGTAAAATCCTGGGATCAGGGACTTGGATGTCATGTCCCATATGGAGGAAAGACATCAGAGCAGCCTTGGATATCTCCACAAGATCAGTGAGAGGACTGGACTATCTCTACAAAGTGCTGTGGGGCACAGCTTTTTCATGGAAGGGGGGAAATCCATGTGTGGCCCAGAAGTGGGAAGTAAGGATGAAGATAAATGTCTGGAAGTGGTAACTGATAAACTGCCCATAGGAAAACAACACACATTCTGAGGAGGAAATAACTATGGACAGATGAAAGAACTGTGGACAAACATCTAAGGAAAAAAATGAACGTCATACATCCAGGATGGGAAATATTGTTCTGGGAAGCAGGAACGCAAAAGGGTTTGGGAGCTGTGGTGGAAATGAGCTCACAGTGTAACACCTCTGTCAGAAGTGTTAACGTAGCTCTTGAATGGGAAAACTGGAGCAACTTCAATAAGAGAGAGAATATTTGTTTGAAAACGGTGTGGCTGTGTCTGGAAGACACTCCAAGAACACCTCTGACTGAGGGGGAAGAGTTCGGGTAAACAAAAAAAAATCAGAGGAATGCAAAAGTATGGCTAAAAAAAAAATCCTCTCAGAGCTCAATGTCTTTATTCCCAAAGGGGAAACGTAGAGTGTCTCAGCTCCTGAGCGTGGTTGGCAGGGCTGGAGGGACGATGGGGTGACAAAAGGGTTTTCAAGCAAGATGACAAAGCTCTAATGAGATGAAGTTGGCAGAAATAGAAACCAGGTCCAAAAAATTTCCAGAATCTGGACTGCTCTGGTTTAGTAACGTTTTAGAACATCTATCCAAAGGCTGATATGACTTTTCTCCTGTAGAAACTTGAAATATATATAATTTTTTCTAAGCAAGATTGTTGGGAATTACATCATTGTATGTGTTATGTGCTAGCTAATGACCAGATCTTCAGTTTTATTTATGATCTTACAATTCTCTGAACCTGTGCCAAGAGTGGGGATGTTCAATTCAGCTCTAGCATTTTGGGGACACATAAAATCCTGGAGACAAAGATGTTGCTTTTACAGTTATGGCTCCAGAGTTTTCCTACCAAATTGATCCACCTCTCCACTTATTTCCAAGTGTGATTTTTTTTTTTTTTTTTGTTTTGTTTTGTTTTTAAATTCTGATGTCTCTGAAACCCCTTTAGGTCAAGGAAAAGAAATCTTATTTATCTCTAGAGTGTCAGGTATTCAGACTTATTTAGGAGCCCACTCTAAATCTTAGGACAATATAGTGAAACAACAAGCTTTGAAATTCAGCACGCGAATGATAAAAAGCTCAGGGTGAATCTGTAACTAATATATACATAGAGATTATTTAGGGATATATACATAAGGTAGTAATTGCAGTGTATGAAAAAATCATCATCATGGCCACACTTTGCGAACGAAGATTTGGGGAGGGCTCTACCCACGTTTGTTACAGGCACACTGGTGGCTGATGAGGCCAATATGAGATAGACACGTCCGATTGCAAAAGGCACAGCAGAAAGACTCCTTAGGTGGTAAATTCTGCAAGACACGATTCTTTCTGCGTTGCCTTTTCTCCTCCAGGGTGATCCTGCTGCATTCTCAAAGGAAATGGCAGTGTTATAGATGGTTTGTCTGCAGACCTCCCAATTGGAGGCCAGAGTAGACCAGTTCTGTTGATCAATATGGCCAAGGCTGAGATGTTGTTTTAGGGAGTCCTTGTATCTCCTCTTTGGGGCTCCTCTCTTTTGGCAACCAGTGGCAAATTCACCACAGAGCAAGATCTTAGGGAGGGGGTGGTTGGTCCTTCATCCTGGAGACGTGCCCTGCCCAGCACAGCTGTGTTCTCAGCAACATGGCCTCTATACCTGTGACAGCTGCCTGTTCTAGAACAGATGGATTGGTCACATCATCTGACCAGTGGATGTTTAGGATTGTGTGGAGGCAGCGTTGATGGAAGCGTTCCAGGAGTCGCAGGTGGTGGCTGTAGATGACCCATGATTCGGATCCATATAAGAGAGTAGACAGCACTATGGCTCTGTAAACACTGATCTTGGTACTTTTCTTCAAACGTTTATTTTGCCATACTCTTTTATGGAGTTTTCCAAAGCTCTCTGTGCCTTTGCTAACCTGTTGTCTATATCCCTGTCAATCTTGCCATCCGAGGAGATGAGGCTCCCTAGGTAATTAAACTGCTGGACTGATTTGAGCTCTGATTGCCAATGGTGATGTGAGGATGATGGGGGACTTCCTGAGGTGCAGGTTGATGGAGAACTTCTGTCTTCTTCAAGCTGACTTCCAGCCCAAAGAGCTCAGCAGCATCTGCAAAGCAGGATGTTAAACACTGCAGAGCTGCTTCTGTGTGGGCAACAAGGGCGGCGTCATCAGCATAAAGCAGCTCCTGGACCAGATGGTTTAAGGTCTTGGTGTGGGCCTTCAGCTGCCTTAGGTTGAAAAGGCTTCCATCAGTACGGTATCGGATGTAGATCCCGTCCTGATCCTCGAGGTCTGCTGTGGCCCTTTGGAGCATCCTGCTGGAAAAGGCTGTGAATAGGGTTGGTGCGAGAACGCAGCCTTGTTTCACACCACTGGTTATTAGAAAGGGCTCAGAAAGTGTGTTGCCATATCTGACTTGGCCGTGCTGATCCTCATGGAGTGAGATGATAATTTTAAGGAATTTGGGGGGGCAACCTAAACGTTCCAAAATCTGCCACAGACCTTTTCTGCTCACAGTATCGAGCCCCTGGCGGGCACCCCGGAGGAGGGGAGTAGAGAGGAGGAACTTTGGAGTGCACAGAGGTTTGCCAGTCCAATTTGGGGGGGGGGAAAGGGGGGTGGGGGTAAAGGAGGGTGGGGGAGGGGGGGGTTGGGGGGGTAGGGGGGTTGGGGGTGGGGTCTGGTGGGCCGTCCCAGAGGAGGGGGGCAGAGGAGAGGATCCTTGGAGCGCACAGAGGTTTGCTGGTCCAATTTGGAGGGGGGGAGGTTGAGGGGGTTGGTGGGGGGATGTGAAAAAATAAGTACATGGTATATTGTGCTCAGATGCCTGAAGTTGCTTCTCTGCTTCTTGATGTAAACAATGGGGTAGGAAACAAGTCTTTGTAGATTCTGCATGGTTTGGGCTCAGAAGAGTGCCTGGGTGGG